CGATCGTTAACTGCAACGCTACAAAGGCATCGTGCGAAGTCGAAGTTGATTTAAAATTTGTACTGGGAAAGTACAGTAGGTGGGCTAACTCATGAAATGTCAGCCGAAATTCCGAAATGGGTTTTCAATTTGAAAATATTAATTAAGTAGTGTTGTAGAAACAACATTATGCAGCACAATTCTATACTATGTCAGTGACCTCAGAATGCCAACTTTCTTCTGACTGCATGCAAGACCTGCACTCAGCAAAAAATGACTACTTAAGTGACATGCATTTTTCTTATTGATGTTCAATGCCCCTAAAAGTCGAACTATATTTCATGTAACACATGCATAAAAGCATTCATTTTTTGCGGGTGTATACTGACTGTACAATGCCTTAGAACGATTGCCTTCATAAGCATTCTGCTTCCTGCCCCAGTGGATAACCGCAACAGTGGGAGCAGTGAACATGATTCTGATCGAGCAAGATTTTCTGTTCGTGAAAGACGCTCATTCAAACTCCCACTGTTTTCGGAACCCATAATGGATAATTGAAACGCACAGGCTCCAAAATAGACACTTTTTGCAAGGTTAATAACGCAGAACTCATATATCGTAATACTGATCTCGCTCAAGGTCTGGCCATACAATCTTTTCTCCTCGACCTATCCCAGGCCTATATTCATAAGTGCGAGTACCCTGTCCTATATTCGCTCTGTTGTTTCTTTTAAGGAAAGAGGCCCAGGAGGTTGTGTTCATGGGTGTTGGAGAGAAAGATACTTTTGCGATATGGTGTGACACTATGCGTTTTTACATCAATAGCTCAGCACGTTACTTTAAATGTTTTACTGAGTCGCGTTTTCTGGCAGCCTGATTGGTCGTGCGACTGCCAGTGAGGGATTAATAAATAATACTAAGCTCATAAAAATTGTTGTTTTTGGTTTAAGGCAAAATATACATGCTTCATCTGCTCTTAGCGCCACATGCGTAAACTATCATCGTTGTTTAATTTTACCTTACGGAACAAACGTATTTTAGTCACCAAACAAATTTCATTAAACTTCTCACCCTGCAGCATGTTGAAATATGATTTTAGAAACTGTATCTGCAGAATACGTGTATGACCCCATGAAAGACAGGTCCTCATGCTGAACGTTCAGGGGCTTTATGTCATTTAATGAACTCCCTGTTTACAGTAACCTCCCAAACAGTCTTTGTCATGGGTTGGCACAGTCAATTAACCGACAGGGCCGAAGAATTCATTCGCTGCGCATCTTATCTGCACTGCGACAGTGGGAGCAGTGAACATGTTTCTGACCGAGCAAGATTTCTGTTCGCAAAAGGCGCTCATTCGAGCCCCCACTGTTTTCGGAACTCATAATGGATAATTGAGACGCAAGTGTTCCAAAATGGACTCTTTTTGTTTTCATGGTTAATAACGCAGAACTCATAAGTCGCAGCATTGACCTCTTCCAAGTTCTGGCCATACAATCTTTCAGTCTCGGCCTATCCTAGGCATATATTTATGTGTGCGAGTCCCCTTTCCTTTGTTCACTCTGTTGCTTTTTTTCAGGGAAAGTGACCTGGGAGGTTGTGTTCATGAATGTTGGACAGGAAGATACTTTTGCTATATGGTGTGCCACTATGCGTTTTTGAATAAACAGCTCAGCACATTACCTGAAATGTTTTCTTGAGCCGTGTTTTCTAGCAATTTACTTGGTTGTGTGATTGCCAGTAAGGGACAAATAAATAATACTAAGCTCGTACAAAATGTTGCCTTTGGTTACAGTTAAAATGCATACACTTTGATCTGCTCTTGGCGCGACATACGTAAGTTATCTTTGTTGATTAATTTCTAGCTTACAGAACAAACGTATTTTAGTCAGTAAAGCAACTTTTCATTAAATTTTTCACCCTGTAAAAAATCGCAATACGATTTTAGGGACTGTATCTGCAGAAAATGTGTAAGTATCCATGAAAAACGTGTGCTCATACTGGACGTCCAGGGTACTGCTGTTATTCAGTGAACTCTCAGTTTTCAGTGACTTCCCACAAGGCCTCCGTCAGGGATTGGCACATCCAATCAACCGACAGA